GTGACAAGTGGAGATCTAAGAAGATTCCCCAAAACGACAACTTGTCGCCTGAGGCCCCAATATCCGATAACGCTAGTCCGTTTTAGTGCAAACTCCGTAAATTTTCGCTGCAACGCAGAATCAATTCAAGGCGAACTGGACCTTCTTGAAAGCTCCCAATCGCACTTAAGTTTCACCAATCAGCCAACAAGCCAACTGGGGAATACACAACGGATTGCTAAGAAGATCAAGAAGTTTCCGGCCAATCTCCAAATCCCCAACAATGGCGCCTCACCACGCCGGCTCCAAAAAGCGGCGTCGTGAGCCCATCAACGTCAACACCAAGCTGGTAGAGATCTACGAAGACCTCGCGAGCGAAAACGACGAGGTCAGACTCAAGGCTGCGCAGGCGCTCGTATCGCAATTCACCCCGGATAAGAATCCCGAGGATGAGCAGATCCAGAAGACGTTGCAGAGACTCTTCCGTGGGCTTTGCAGTAGTCGCAAAGCTGCGCGCATTGGGTTCTCGATTGCGTTGACGGAAGTACTTTCGCAGGTTTTTGCTGCGGGGGTGGAGAGGCCTTCGGCTGCTTTGGATGTCCCTGGTGTTTTGGGGATCTGGGAGTCTGTCTCGAATGCGGCGGCGAGTGAGTCCGGGCAGGTTTGTTTTCCCCATTATTTCTATTTTTGGTGTTCTTTCTCTGGCAGTTTGTGAGGCTAGTTTCTTACGTTGATATAGGAACAAAGAGATCATCATTTTGGCCGTCTTTTTGGTGCAGAGGCTATTATTAAGTCTTCTATTCTTTTCAGCCCTAAGGCACTGCTCCCTCAATGGAAGAAGGTCCTGGAGTTGGTGTTTGACCTGGCTAAGAAGAAGCCTTGGATTAGAGAAGAGTGTGGCTGGATTGTGTATCGTTGTATTCATGACATTTCATCCCAGAAGGCCGACGCCAAACTAGTCGAGACTGCTCTTGAGATTCTGTGTTCTAACGACCTGGCGCGAACACCGGAGGGTGTCGCTATCTGGCTGGCCGCTAAGGATCGATTCCCTGGAATTAGCTTCCCCAGCAAAGTGTGGAAGCATGATGACCCACTGGACTCGAAGGAGAGGAACCAGTTGGCAAAGGCTATGAAGGAATCCTCGAGTGCTGATTCCGAGAGCGAAGGGGAGAAGGGCGCAAAGGCATCTGGCGTGTGGAACTCGAAGCTTCACTTTGCCTGGGATGCTGCTTTGCTCAGCCTGAACAACGCTGCGAAGGAGCGCTCTAAGTCTAAGGGCTCATCTAGCCGCCTTAGTTTTGCTGATTTCTGGACCGAGGTCGTTGACAGTGAGTTATGCCCTATCAAGATAGCAGAATGTGGACCTAATATGTTGAAATAGATGGACTCTTCGCCTCGGCTTCATCTGAAGAACGGAAGTACTGGGGATTTCTCCTTTTTATTAAAGTGATTAACGACCATAGCCTAGAATTGGCCTCTCACGTATTCACGAAGAACCTTGTTCGATGTCTCACGAACCAACTCGCAGTCGAGGACCGATACTTGCACCGGATGGCAGTCAAGGCTGCAAAGGCCATCCAGTCCCGCGTATCGAAGGAGCCCGAGTTCGCTGCCGCATCTGTCAATGGCCTCATGGGCTCCGCAGGCGCCGTGAACTTTGACCAAATCACGAAGACGAAAACCGTGGAGAAGATCGTGGCCGAGGCTAACCTGGACGCACTGAACACGATCCTACCTCTGTTCGAGAAGCTCGTCGCATCCCCTGGAACAAGCGATAGCAAGACTGCTGCCTCAAGCCGACAGGTCCTGGCTGGACTGATGTTGTCGGTGGTTCGGGCTCGTGTGGCGGCTAGCGATGGAGCAGACGTAGGTTGTGAGGCTGCGCTTGAGCGGATTTTATTTACATTCGCTCGCTTCGCGTATTTCACGAGTGAGGATGAAAAAAGCGGTGCCCAGCCGCTGTTTACGCAACAGTCGCAGGAGCTGTTCCGGAGCAGGATCAACTCGTCTCTTAACAGTATCATCGCTGCCCAGAAGCATGCTGCTACCATACCGTATGCGGTTGTTCGCAAGATTCGCGATGCAGCCAAGTCCGAGGAATTTGGCAAGTTCATTATCAGCATGGATGACACTCTTAAGGATTCCGTGAAGGGTGCGTTCAAGGCGCTGAAGAAACTATCGAGCTTGGTGAGACACTTGTCCTACACACTTTTAAAATCTAACCCATGCTGACAACTTGTATAGAAGGACACCTCCGCAGCTGGAGTCGACGCATTCAAACTTCTTTATTCCATGACAATTCTCCAAGTCTACAACGGCGACGCAGACGCCGCGTCCATGCTCGAGGAACTCGATTTCTGCTACAACAAGATTTTCGGAGACAAGAAGTCGAAGAAGGAAGAAGAGACCTCGGAAGCCTCAGACGCCCTGGTTGAAATCCTTCTCAGTTTCGCTTCTAAGCCCTCTCAGCTTTTCCGTCGTATGAGTGAGCAGGTATTCTCAGCGTTTGCACCGAATGTCACTGAAACCGGGTTGGAATCTTTGATTTCGGTATGATAAAGCCATGCTACATCTTATCAAGACTTGAAACTAATTTAACTACTTTAGATCCTGGAGGCGAAAGAAAGTCTTGCCGGTCAACAAGAGATGTTCGACCAGCAAGACGATGAAGAAGACGCCGAGGAAGACGAAGACGAAGACGAAGATGAAGATATGATGGACGTCGACGAAGAAGACAGTGACGTGGAAGTTGTAAGCCCGGAAGATGACGACGCTTCGTCCCCATCAGACGGAGAGGAAGAAGGAGAAGGAGAAGGAGAAGAGGACAACGACGAAGACGCCGCCGAGATTGCCGCCTTCGAGGCAAAACTTGCCTCAGCGCTCGGCACGCACCGCGCAGACCAAGACCTCAAGGAAGAAGAATCCGAGTCTGACGAAGATATGAACGACGATCAGATGGACGAGGTTGACACGCAACTGGTCAAGGTCTTCAAGGCACGCCGCGATGCCCTAAGCAAGAAGCAGGACAAGAAAGACGCAAAGGAGACAATGGTGAATTTCAAGAACCGGGTGTTGGATCTTCTTGAGATCTATGTGAAGAAATGCCCCTCATCAATCCTCGCCCTGGATCTTATTCTTCCGCTGTTACGACTAACGCGGCGCTCTTCGGTGAAGCAGATTAGCAACAAGGCTAACTCTGTGCTTCGCGAGTATACGAAGCTCTGCAAAGGGACTTCGGTCCCGGCTCTTGACTCGGATTCTATTGAGCCTGTTTGGGAGTTGTTGAAGGCTATCCATGGCGAGGCGATGCACAGTGGGCCGCCGACGCATGCGTCTGGCTGTAGCCAGGCAAGTCTGCTTGTTGTCAAGGTTTTGACGGCGCACGACAAGGATGCTGTCAAAGGGGTTGTGGATGTTTATGGCGAGACGAGAAAGAGCCAGCTTCTGAGTTCGAAGTGCCATGTGCAGCCGACGTTCTTTACGGATTGGAACAACTGGTGTGTTTCGGCGAGTCGGGCGATGAAGAACTGAGGAGTACTTTATCTCTACCGATTTTAATCTATGTGCTGTTGATTGGATTATAGATACTGTATTTGTATAAACCGGTGTAGTATAGATTCTCAAAAATACAGACATAAGCACTCACATATTAGGTACTAATAGAACGCTATCGTACAACATAAACTATCTCGCAAACAGACAAGGTAACCCTTTAAAACCCCTTAATATATCGATGCTCAGTCGTCTCCTCCAAAACGTCGAACCGCATACCAACTCTGATCTCCCCCTCCTCCCTTGGCACCCCCAACATCCCAAAGCAGGGCTTATACTTCAGTCCCTCGTCGACCCTCCTATAACTCATCATCGTGTCCCACGGCTGGTTCTTATGTTTCACCGCCGTCTCCGGGTCAACATTAGGCACCTGGCACCTCCCACACCTTGCCACAATATCAAACGTCAGCGCTTTCTCCGAGTGATCCCCCTTCTCAAGTAAACTCCCTTCGGAACAAGAGCCAACCCCAACAGGCTCCGAAACCCTAACCGTCTTCCACGAATCCTCAACCCAAGCAGACCCCTCGCGCCCCCGGATAATGATGTTCGGCCGAAACCGCTCAATCGTAATCTCCTCATGGCCCTGCGCCTTGAGCCGTCCATTCAACTCGTCAATCGACGCCTGCGATGCAATAAGCACCGGAAGCACATCTGGGAAATTCGTATTCTGGACACGGCCGAGGGCTCTGGGGTCCCCATTCCCCTTTAGGATCCGCGGCGTAGGGCCCTTGTAAACTAGAACAACAGGACGGTTCAGAAACGTGGAAAACATCTGGTTCACACCGGTCTCAGGATTGTAGATGTATCCGTCCGTAACGGTGTCCCAGATCTTTATGTCCGAGGCTAGGGTTGTATGCTGCGCTAGCCAGGCTTCGTCTGGGTGGGATGGGATGGCAATTGTATCTCCCTTCTTGCCTGACTCGGCGGTGGTAGAGAGGAGGAGGGACCCGCCATCGGGACTTAGGCCTGTGGTGATGAGTGTCATCTCCGGGATCTGGCGGATGGTCAGGAAGACGTGGGTTACTGCGTCAACGATCATCCAGCGGCGGTCGAGGTCCAGGCCTGTCATGCATTGCTTGGTTGCAGATGTTTCAAATCCGCGACATGATTTTATGGGGTATACGCGTAGGGAGATGATCTCGCTGGGTTCTTGGGAGGGTGTGTCATTGCGATTGAGCAGGGTGTGGAGAGCTTTGGGACCGAGGAGGCGCCGGAGAATGAATGGGGTTGTTGCGAGGAAGCAGAGGAGAAGAAATGCTGCAAATATTGGTGTCATTGTGGCCTTTTCGACGGCAGACCTGTTTAAGACAGCTGGGATAACGGGTTATGTGCAGTGACCGCAATGATGAAGTTGGATGATGCGTGCGGGGATGACTCCGAATTCTTGCGGATAACCGACAAGGCGAGAGCGCGGAGAACCTGGAATGGTTGACCGCCTACAGCAGGGCAGGGGAATTAACAAAAGGATTGCAATTTCTGGCTATATAGTAGGAATTAATTCATTTCTTGCATTTGAAATGCTCTAGCTTATAAGTGGTGCGTAAAGCTGGAACATGGGGTGGTTGATTAAGCAGGTGACAGAGTAGATCGGTCAATTACTATAAAACACCAACCAAGACATATATATTAATGATAGTCGTTAGGTATGATATCGTAAGGCTGCTAAGTTGAATTATGCCACTTCAGTTGAGGGAAAACGCCAAAACCCAGTCATGCGTATCGCTATCAGAACCCAAGTATGCGAATCAAGGGGGTTATACCTTCTCGTCAATCCAGCTATCAACAAGAGCCTTGATGAGTGCAATTGCAACCTCTCTTCCGGTTTCAATATCCTCATCGCGGCACGACGATGGAACATGGAAGAAGGCAACGCTCCTGTCCCGGCCCTCTTGGAGGGCTAGTGACAGGCTCGTGTAAAATATAAATTCGCAGAGATACCGGCCAGCGTCCTCTGATATCCGAATGTCTGCGCTTGCCGGCGCAAGCGTCTGCCATGTATTCAAGAATTCATTGTCCGGCGGATGAGGGTTTAGTTTTGCCCGCGAGGACGTGAGATCTAACTTCACCACCGGCTCAGCCGTAGGATCACTGCGCTCTGCCTTCAAGACAAGAGGGAGGCTCTGTTCCCTCCATGGCTTCTCGCCGTCCTGGTACCCTGCTCGTCCGAGGTTATCGGGCATGTTGTATGCGTCACGATGCGCCTTCGACTCTATCGAGTAGTAATTTCTTGTTGCCGCGATTCCCATGTGGAGTATGATATCGGGATTCCGGCCGTGTCTTTTGACATAGTCCTCCATTATAGTTGGTATTGTCGTCCGAACTGCGGAGTATGCGACAGGGATCGGGGCGGGGTGAACATGGATTGCAATTCGGCGAGCTGCAGGCAAGCCGTCGGGTGCAGCTTTGGCTAAAGGTAAGGATGAAGGAAGGGACGTCGCAATCAAATGCGACGCATTAACTAGATTCGACTTGAAGGGCTACGCAGAGTCAGCTATGTCTTGGTTGATACCCCCATAGAGTAAGAGAGATTTCGAATTGACTGACACCGAAGCCCGTCACAAGCACCGAGATCTCCTCAGTGTCTGCAGGAGACGAAGGAAGATCCCTTGGTAGCGGTGTGCTGGACAGATGCACACCTGAACCCGAGTCACCCATGATGTAGTCGAGACCAGGTAGATAAGGGTGGAGCGCTCGGTCGGTTCGTGGCTCTGTGGGCTGGACACAAAGCGTTATCCCGTAGAAAGAGTTGTAGAAATAGCTCTCGCAAGATGAGGACACAGAAACCAGTAGCACGAAGGAGAAAAAGCACTGTGGCGTGGCTAAAGAGGCAGGTTACACTCCTCGCTTTATCGGCGCTTCCCCGCCTCCGCATTGGGCAGTCTTGGCATCACGAGTCCTGTACATCTGCCCAACCAAGTATGTCTCTTAAATACACCTGCATATTGGCCTGAGACAGTACTACTATCTGGAGTTTGGCAATAAACGAATGTGCCTAATAACGAATGACAGCTGTGTTATCTTCGGCTTCAACCATTTCGTCAAGACTCAACACCGACTCCACTTCGCGCGGGCATCTATAACGGCAATGTATAGCGAGCCAACTCCTGCCTATCTGGCAATCTTGAATCATCAATCGTCCAAAAAGGGACAGAGTTATCAGAGCTGAAGTTTTTATATAATTTACCTTCGTCTGATCCAATGCAACTCGGGAACCCGATTATCTGATAACTCTATCAACACATCAAACTTTGGAGTCATGCTTGAGCCTGGGAAATCCCGTGACCATCAGTCCACCTTCAGTGTCAAGCTATTTAACACATCATTTCTTCCCTTCCTGCAAACAGTGATCAAAACGCTACCGCATCACATTTTCATCAGGAAAAATCATTTGGCTTACTGTACGCCCCAGCAAAAGCTTACACTTGTGTTAGGTCGGTTGACTGATTTGGCGGTTCTCAGGATGCCATCGCTGGGGAGCTTAAGCCCAGCAGCCTCTTCGCACGCCTCTAAATCCCCTTTTTGCGCTAAATACACTTTGGACCGGAAACTTGCAGATTATCAACCAAGTGGACATGAGGATGATACCGCAGATTTGTTGCGGGTCTTTTTCAAATACCTGCCACTGGATGGACAAGTCAACCTGGCAGAGGATGTAGACAGATGTCCTGACGGTGAAGCACTTTGGCAGCTTTCTAAAAACCTTGATGACGGCGTGCTACGGCCTATGCTAGCCCATGGTGGCACTACCCCCGCCATAACTCCATCTCCACGCTTTGCAATCGAAGATTCTATTGACAATCTGGTCTCTGAAGATGTCAGCTCCATTACTAGAGCCGATCAGAGCCGACTGCGCAAAAACTGTCTTGCCAGGGATGGACAGAGATGCGTTGTATCCAACTATTGGAGCTCGTGTTACAAAGAACGCCCGGTTGACGCGCTCGATGCTCCTTTGGAAGCAGTCCACATTATTCCATCTGCCTTGAATAAACGCCAAGAGGATAATGACGATGAGCGATTCAGGCACGCAGCGATTTGGGTTAATATCTACCGATACTTTCCTGGCCTTTGCTCCCGCCTCAACTTTTCTTCGGAAGACATCAACCAAGAGATGAACGCGATGATGATGTATGCCCCGCTCCATCAACAGTTTGGGGTGTTCCGTTTTGTCTTTGAAGCCACTGAAACTTTGCATCAATACCGCATCAAAACATTCCCAAAGCTGCCCAGTGTGTTCCTAAGGGATATACCCCCCGATGGACTTGTCACCTTCACAAGTCATGATGGGAGATATTCCCTTCCCCACCCAACTCTCCTTGCCGTGCATTCTGCAATCGGTAACATCCTACATTTTAGTGGGCGCTTGGAGAAGATAGAGAAGTTAAAGCGAGATCTTCAGGAAATAGGTGGACTTGCCCACAATGGGAGTACTCCAATAGGGGACCTTCTCTCAGTAAGTAGTCTATCATTACTGCTCTGCTCTGCCAAAGACAAACCAGCGTGTAAGAAGCCCAAGGAGCAGCAGCCGCGCGTGCCAGATATGCTATCTGGTACTGAAAACGAACGACCGGGCCGTTCAACTTGAGGATAAATCCCCACAAGTCCAGAAGAATTGAACAAACCTACAAAAGAAGCCACGAAATTTGCCGCGTGGTATTTGCCGAACTTGGTTACTGCGAATACTGGCTCGATTGATTATCTCCAGGAACTTGAGATTTAAACCCTGGGTGCGCGGTTTGAGGCAAACCGGGACTGATAACTCTATCCGCTCCTCGTACATCAAGGTGGATGGGTCCAGAAAAACAGGGAAAGGCGTAACTGCTACTGCTTCACATATTTAATATATAAAACTCGTAGTCAGTCGCCTTGTCATTAGGCCACCCGACTTGATTGAGTTGAGACGGACAGGACCACCCAGTCAATGCTGCCAAACAACAAGCCCTAGTATGCACGTCATGAATTATGGGCCTTACCTTTCTAATAAGATGCCTAAAGAAACGACCCATGCCCTACAAATAGATACTTTGTCAGCCTTCGGTGATTTGATCCAGACGCCGAATACCAAGCTCTACACGAGCCGGCGGCCCGTCAATCATGCCGAATACATAAACCGACCACCTCGCCAGTTTTTCTGCTCGTTACGAACATGCTGCCGCTGCCTTTTACGCTAGAATGCAGCCTGTAAATCCACCAACCCTGCGACTTGTTTGTCGAGGCCGACTATCATCGCCCTTACACAGCGTAGCCCGGACATGGCCACGATGTCTACCCCTTCTGAGTCCACGAATGGCCAGACATGCCTTTAGCGACTCTCGAACAGGTGAGTCATGATAAAATAGAATATATTATCAATCCAAGTTTTCTTGATAAAATAGCTAAACCAACTATCCAGAAAATTCCAAACAAGAAAGCAGCCACAGAATCCCACTGCGGCTGATGCCCCTAGGAGGCTCAATAACCAACGGCATCGGATCGTCCTCCGGAAACGGGTATAGGAAGAAACTAAACGACATGCTCGTTGCCAGAGGCCATCAAACAGTAATGGTCGGGTCTCGCAGGTCCGGCACAATGGCTAACAACGACAACGAGGGCTGGCGCGGGTACAGAATCGACCAGATCCACGAGAAGGCGATGAAGTCAGCTGCGCGGCATTTGCCGAACTTGTTTACGGTGAATGCAGGACCGAATGACTGTCTACAGGATTATGAGATCCAGACTGTGGGGTTGAGGCTTGAGGCGCTGCTTGAGGAGCTTTGGAGGATTGCATCGCCTAGTGCCACGGTTGTGCTTTCGACGTTGATTGTGGCTGCTGATGAGGGGATCAATTCGAGAATTTTGAGAGTGAATGAGCAGATAAGGGACTTGGTGGAGAGGAAGGGGGCTGATAATAAGAGGATAGTTCTTGCTGATTTGTATGGCCCTCGAGGACCTCGGGTTGGGGATTTGGTTGATGATGGGATACATCCTGGTGATGAGGGATATGTCAAGATGGCGGAGATTTGGGCAGACAGTATTGAACAAGCTGCAAGAGATGGTCTTCTTCAACCCCCTCAGGATGTACCTAATCGCGGGGGTTGTATATAAAGACTGGTGGACTTCAGAGGCAGACTATTACTTACTCTACCTACATATCTATATACCATGAGAACACAGAGCTTCAGAAATCTCCTTAGACGCCTCATCCACCTTAAACCTTTCAAGCGGCAGCTCTGCCCAGAGAATCTGCTGTGCAACTCCCTGCCAAATCATCGACTCAGTCCCATACAAAACCCCCCACCCAGCCTCAACGCACAGCGCAAAGAACTCCGTCTTTGGCTTCGAGTGGTAGCACATCTCAAGCACATATCCCTTATCCCTTCGACCTAGAAACACCTTCGTTATCTCCCTCACAAGCTTCTCCCCTTCCTCACGAGGCGGATAATCCGGTATCGTCCCTACAACCAACACAGGCGTCTCCAGCCCCTCAGCCTGCTGCACCGAGGAAACATGCACAAGTTCACCAGTGAACTCAGGAAAAGCATCAAACGACTCCTTTATAGCAGCAATCTCGCTCCCCAGTCTGTTCACGAGGTAGATCCTACTCGCCCCGAGCCATTTCCACAGCGCGTAAATAGCGGCACGACAAGCTCCGCCGCCTCCGATAATTAGGGCTGGCTTCCCCGTTGATTGCCCAAGAATGCCAGGGTAGTTCTGCAGGAATGCTTCGCGGATGCCGATACAGTCGGTATTTGTGCCGATATATCGGACCTTGGCCTTATTATCTGGTACACGACGCAGGAAGACAGTGTTGATTGCCCCGATGAGCCGGCCTTCGTCTGTTACTTCGTCGACTGCGGACATTAGGGAGATTTTGTAGGGCATTGTGATTGCGCAGCCGACGACACCGGGTTGGTGGAGGGCCGGCAGGAACTCGGAGCTGTTTTGGGTCTCGTGAAGGTTGTATTTCCAAGGGAGGGAAACGCTTTTAAAGAGGGATTCATGGAGCTTTGGGGCGAGGGAGTGCGCGATTGGGTATCCGAAGGGGAAGACATGGGGTGCTGTAGATAGTTGTGGTTGTGCTAATGGGATAGGTTCGACGTGGGAGGAGCCATAGCGGTAGGACGTCGTTAGAGCGTTTTCTCCTTGATATACGGATCCCATTTTGGAATGATCTGGAGTGAATGTAAGCAGTATAAGCTCTATAGATAGTAGTTATAGATGTGTCGGTGAAGTCTTTAACCGATACTCTTCCTGGGGTTGACATCGGCTAAGCAAATGGCCTCGGACAATGCCCCGTGGGGATAAGACCATGTGCATAGTTGGAGGTGAGATCTTGGGGGACATTGTTAAGGCTTTAGGTGCATTACTTTGTATAGTTCTCTATAATAAGTCTATAATGTAGATGTAGAGTATTTTACAGGGGGTTGGTTTAGTAGTATGAAACATCATATTCGCAGTAACTACCAATCTAAGGATATTCTCCACCGTCTTTCCTGAGCCTTTCACTTGATTTCTCTCTCGATTACTGAGAGTTAAGTAGGGCTCCAGCCATCAGGGATCTTGAAGCCCCGGTGCTTCGCTGCCCATTCGACTGGCGAGTATTTGAGATCGTCAAGAGGGGGACAAGTAGATATATTGGTACACCGAATAGCCCCAAATGAACCCAACAGTTCAATCTGTTCCTTCTCGGACACTGTGATCTTCATACGAGCGACTGCATCCTCCGGAAGCTCGCCCGTACCCGGGTTCGGGGGAAGGATATACACGTTCGGCGTATCTGTCTCGGTCACCACCAGGCGACGAACCGACAAGTCCGGCTCAAGAGTGGCAAGTGACGGACAACCCAGCTGCCTCTCTTCCATGGGCAGCTCAAGATTGCATCCGTACCAGTTTCCGCCATAAACTCGCAGTTGGTCACACCAGGCGTTCTCCCGACCTCTGTGCTAGTCTGACGAATCCGATCTATATCGCTTAACACCAAGCTTTTCGAGAGTTAGAGGGTGTAGTTGGGATTCCCACACACCACCTGATGATGGATAGCAGTATGTTGTCCCTGTCATGAGGTCGAAGCGTTTGGGTGCGCGATCGCGCAGCTCGTGTGGCCACTGTTGAAGCCGGGTGATCTCTCCGCTTGTACGGCACCACTCTAAGTCTGGATGGGGACCTCGCCGATCTATCTCGTAGTCTTGTTCAGTCCAGTTCATCAAGGGGTAAATGTTGCATTCAATATATTCTGCGAATGTGAACTGGTTCATAGCAGCGACTAACAAAAGGATAGAGAATACAGACAAGCTGAGTCGAGACATGTTTCTGAATTGGATTGGGAATGTTCACCCGTTTCGTATTCGTGAGTAGCTGTTTGAAATCAGGCAAAGTCTTGAAGAATGGAGAGTTGAAGTTAGAACTAGAAGCAGATAGTTAAGTCTATAAATAACTAAGATTCTGGTGATTCAAGCAGGCAGTTATGAATACAGGAGTCACAAACAGTCTGAAAGCAGCAAAGAGGCCAGCACAGAATAGAGGGATTCACTAATTGTCCAAGGTCTTACAAGGTATCATGCTGTGTAACAGTGACAGTCTCTATCTGTGAGATTGACTGCCACCTAACAATGGAGATATGGACTTAGGGCCGTGGTTCGCATATACTTTGTTTGCACTATACCGGGAGATGGCATCCGACTTTTTTTATTCAGGTCTGTGTTTTCAGGCTCGATTGCTGCGTGTCGTAGAGGTCTTTGATATCTGTTTGGTGTAGCAAGCGTAGTAGCTATAGATATATGCGACACCCAGGTACCAGCTTGTAGCTCACTAAAGTCTAGTTGCAATATCCACACTTTGCTCAAGATGTATCCTATCGCTAAGCACATTATAATCACCGCCGCCATCGCCATCGCCATGGCTATCATCCGCAACCCCTCGCCGATTGCACTTTCCACGAGGGAAAAAGCGCAGTGCATTTCCCTGGAGTTTGAGAACTGCAGCGACAATCAGAAGACAGTCGTTCAGAACGCCTTCAACCAGGCTATCTCGATGGCAAGTATATCACGAAACATCGATTTCGACTCAGACCCAGCCGCGAAAGACTTCTTCGGCCCTAGCTCGCTAAACCAGAAGTACCAAGGCCAAATCAACTCTATCTTTGACCGTATTGCGACCTTTCGGATAGGCTGTACTCCGGGAGTGCGAGTCGGTGTGGAATGTGTCGACTGTTCCAGAAATAGCAGCGAAACAATTGCCTATGTTAGGAATATTCAGCTTCCCGGACCGTATCACGACGGAAACCGTCTATCAAAGACCTCTCCGATAATCAAGTTCTGCAAGAGGTTTTTCCGCGATTACAAGAGTCCTGAGGCCAGAGTGAAGGAGATATTTGACTTTGGAAGAGAGGACTGGAAACCTGACCTCCGCAGCTATACAAATCAAGGTTCGTTATCATCCCTGTACCTGTTCATCGACTGACCATATGCCATTTGCGCGCAGCCAGCCTTGTTCTACACGAGATCATGCATGCCGACGCCCTCGTTTCCGCGCAAAATGGAAATCGCCGGATTTATGATATTGAAATCAAGGTAGAGAACGGTTCTGGGGAGTATTTGGGGGTATATGGAGCAGAAAAGTGTAAAACCCTTGCGCGAACTGTTCCCGAACGCCGGAATGCGAAGATATCTCTTATTAGAGACGGTATTACCTCAAATGGTGAGTTTCTGCTTCCCAAGTATCTTTCTTTGGCTGTATAACTGCTGATACACAGCTTCCTTTCCTTGCTTTGCAGCGGACACCTATGCACAATTCGCGCTCGCAAAGTACGTCCAGAAGAAGCTGAACGGCCAGTAAGAACACCACTATCTAAGTTATCGTTTATTCGAGCGAATTTCAAGACTGACTCTGCGTGCACATAGATATCCGTTCCTGACAAATGACTCCACGGTGGCCGTTGACGGTTCCTGGCGCATTATATCCCGAAATCGCAGGACGAGAAACTTACCATGAAATACTAGTGAAGATATTAACAAACGGCATCATGGGATCCGTGCCAACAATGAGTTTGTTTCTTTTACTGTCCTTGACTACCTGTCTAAATGTCCGAATACAATGGCTGCAGAGGACAAGGTCGACGCCGCTCAGTCTGAAGCAACTACTACGTGAGAAGATATCTAGACCCGCTTATGATTAGATGGACATGTGAACTTGAAGGGATAGAATTGTTTTTTGATATTAATAGACCGACGTTTTTGAATCATAAATGAGAATGTATAGACACCGGAGCTTCTTTGTGGAATTACTGTATGACGCTCCTCCATACAGTCGCAGCTCCTGAACAGAATGGGCCTCCCTTCCATTGATCACTGCGAGTTTGGATATCTGAAGTACCAGAGTTCCAGCTCGCCCAGTTTCATCAGTTGTACGCGCCCCTAGCGATGGGGAGCATGCTGCGCTTATGCCGCGGGATCATGCCGCGCTGCCAGGAGAGTAGGTTGCCCGGGCAGCCTTAGAAAAGTAGAGCCAGTGTATACCGATGGCCAGGTAGAGAAGACCGAGAATGATGAGGATTAGTATTACGATACTCGACGGCGGCCAGGCGTTGTTTTTTGCTGACTTGTTGGTGCGTTGGTTTCGGTTGTTTCCTGCCTTCTTTGCTCGGCTGATGTTGGTGCGTGCCATTGTTGTATCGAGAAAAGTATTGGACTAGAAAGCGGTAAATGTCTCTGAAGGTGAATGCTTGTTTTTGCGAGCTTTGTGCTTTTAAGTGTCTTTTATAAGCTGGATTCATTCATAACACGGTGACCATAATACATAAGCTTATAAGCATGATATGTGGACTTGGGTGATTGGTGACCCAACAAAGAATTCATTGCTGTAAGAGTCATATCCATTATCTAGAAGGTTCACAATATGTCCATTTGCCAGAACATTCACTGGTAAGTGGGTGAGTATGTCTGTTGTGACTCAACCAAAAGAACACCTAATCCGAACCAACCCAGCCCTAACTCACCTCCCCGGCAGTCATCCACCAGCAACTACACGCGAGCGACAAGCCAAAAGCGAAAGCAAATCAAAGAAAAATCACAGTTCCTTATCAAATACCCCCCAATTATCTACGTGATTCAATAATTAATCAGAAAATCAAAGCACTGCCTCGGGTTGGGACAGCTTGAATGTACCGGATTGGGTCTTGAATCGCGTCCCAGCCGTAGACCGAATCCATCCATGTACAGAGTTGAACCCTTGTCACTGCTGTTTTCTTCATCAAACACGTACGTTCTTGTCGGCCTGCATAGAGATTGGTTTTCGTAGTGAACCTGACGCGACCGGAGCTGTGGATTTGAGGTGGGCGGGTTTGAGGGCTAGGAAGCTTACGAGGAGGTGGATGGACGCTGAAAGTAGCCAGGTCGCTGGGATGTTGATTGGATGGATTGATAGGATGGGGGGAGACGTGCCTCATGACGCTGTAGCTGGGTTCCTTAAAAATTGAGCCCTAGGTTCTGGATAGGATGACAGGTTTGCTCCTATAGGGACTGATACTATCGCCTCCAGGATGTGAGCTACGAGCATATTTACTAGGAGATGGAGTGTTGATATACTGAGTTCAGCATAGAAAGGACTATCGTTAGATTCTCGGTCTCAATACCCCGATGCCGGATTGATGAATTTGGATAGTAACTTGAAAATGTAGGCGGAACGTATTATTGCAACCTATATCAGGATCAGGGCACGTCGGGTCTTAACTTCTGAGCCAACAGCTGGTCTGGAAACTTTTTTCATTCACTGTTAGAGTACTCAGAACTGTTAGGTCATACCGCTTCTTGTGCACGGATATGGTACATCTAGATGTCAGCGTTGTCACTGCCTCTGATAGGCCAAGGCTGACCCTGCTCTCATCGAAAGACCTACGGTTTCCGTCACCGACAGTGCCATTTCCAAGTTGGATGGTCTGTTTGTTTGGTAACTGGTTGGCACCCAAGCCCGTGTCGCGTCGACACCCTCCGGTAAGTCGGCACGTCCTGCAAGGAGAGTTGCCTATGACCGCATTGGGGTGGCCAAACCTTGGAATCGCCAGCTTGATCTCCCGGCGGCAGCAAGCTCTGCCTCCCAATATGCAAGGATTTCCGTTGCATAGTTAGTAACAACACTGATGCACGATCAAGTTGGAGGTTTCAGCTGCCGGTGTTCTGCCGACGCAGTCAGCCCCCAGTTATTCCGCGTCGAGTTGTAACCCTAACAAAACAAATGGGCTTTCGTGTGAAGCTCGCTGTTCGAAACGCATAAGCACTGGGTCCGAATATTTAGCGAGACATGCCGCTGGTAGCTCCGGTAATAACTCATATGCGCGTTTCCGGGCCCCGAAACCTCGAATCGTGCATGGAATCAAGCGAACGGCGGCTCTAACCAAGCACCGTGATGGCTGGTGTTCATCACAACAGCGGGTCGTGGAACATACCTGGGTCACGGGTGGATAACTCGGGGTTGGATGGGGCGATGGGGCTTCCTCGGAAACGTCGATTTTGTACCTGAGCTCGTGGAACTCCGAGGCACGATTGTATCAGGCAGTTGACTGAAGTTTTCCGGTGCATTCTTCCGCCAGCTTACTACACAGGCATGTTGGGGCGTTGACGGTACTCTGCTCACAGCGACGGGTTGGAAACACCGAAGCCACACGAGCATGAACGACTGCAGGAGGGTAAGACAGCACTGCAAGATGAAGTCGACTAAAAATAGGGGAGCGGTGATGGATTAGCGAGTTCTGGGTTTCGGTTCCTGCAGTGGACGAAACGATGGAGCAGCGTCACAATGTCACAGGGACAGCAGGAATTTGGGGGGACGATCACGCGTCGGTACGGTCATTGACGTAAATTACCAGACGCGCGGATCGCGTCTCGGACGTGTTGTAACGCGTCTACCCCGCCTTGACGCGTCGGCCCCACCGGCAATAAGCGAAGCATCCAAGCGGAAAGCGGAAGGCGCACCAATTACCAACTCCCACAGCAGTGAGCCTCTGGTAGTCTTCAAGTCTCCAGATGAAGAACAAAGGCCCCCAGAGCGCGGAGTCAAGCCATGTAATACTAGACACTGACACATGCACTGTAGACAACCAGCTTTGAGACACATCTTCTCATCCGTGCCTGATCTTCAGTTCCCAACGTCTTGCTCGAAGCACTCCAATCCGGTCTACGTGGGCCCAAGCCGGTGAACAGGCTAATGCACGCCCAGTCCACCAGGCCTGCTAGCATGCATCTGCAGCGAGGCTTCGAAAATTCGAGCTCACGCACTTGGATGGAAAGGTTGCACTCTGATCACACGGCCCATCTGAAGATGGATTCTGTATGGGCGATCGGTCCTGCTGGTGGATGTAGATTCCTCAAGTGAGAGCAGTGATCACGCACGACCTTGTTCAGTCGTGAGTTCCAAGCTGCAGAGCAATCACCAGACGACCGGGCTCCGGGCTCAGCAGTGTTGCCGAACGTAGAAGAAGGAAAAAAAAAAAAAAAAAAAAAAAAAAAGAAAGCACAGCTCAGCAGGCGAAGGATGAGCGTTGGATGTGCAGCGGAGACTCCCTTGCTGGAAAACCTTGAGCAAGCCTAGCAGGGCCGTCTGGCGAGGAACAACATTAACGGCTCCATCGGGATCAACGCCATTTGACGTTGGGCGGCGCGGTGAGGCGGTTCAACAGGTGGCCTTCACCAGCCCCCAAATCCTCATCTCTGCTCCGGCTTGGTTGTGTTTGCTGATAGAGTCCATCGTAGATGGCATTCAGTGAGAGACACGAGACACGAGGTCTGAATCATCACGCATTCCAGTCCGGGTCTGGAATGTGGCCAAGGCAGAGTATATCCATCGACGCCCCATTTCCCGCCGGTGGAACAGGTGGACTGTGGGAGTGGAACGAGTGAAGCTCTAGCGATCTTGGGCGGTTGTGGCCTGAGAACTGAGGCGCGCCGGCCAGTCCCCGTGGTCCCTGCTCCCCGTGCCGCCCGTTCTCAACTTCTGACTTCGTCTCGTCGCTCTCGGTCTTTCCTCTCCATCCCCAACCTCCTCCGACTGCTCCGGCTTAGTTCCCACTACGGGCGTCACGCTCGTGCGATTCCATCCCTTCCGTTTCCTTCCAGTTTCCTTTGTGTTGGTCTGGCGTTTTCGTGCCTCGATGACGGCTCCGCTTCCCTTGCTGTGACATACTGTCCGACGGAGCGCAGAATCGTTCGATGTGATCTCTGAACACCCTCCACTGTCGCATTCCGCATCCCCAGTGGCTCATCGCATCGACTCTCACGAATTCGATCGCTTGTTCTCTCTCCGACCAGTCGCATCTTGACGAACTTGTTTCCTTTTATCTTTCTTTTGCTGCTTTCCTAGTTTACGACTTAACGATCCCCCCGGAACACGCCTACACTACCCTCGATCCTTTTTTGGACGATTTACCCCCTTGACGAAACGAATCAAATTATTACCTGTTTCACCGCGCCTGGTTTCTTGCCCGAGACTTCTCCGCGCGTCTGTTCGAACGCAAAGAAGATTTCGAGACGTGGAATACTCCGCTGGAGAAGGCAGTTATCGAATAGTTACCAGAGGCTTTCAACCGGCGAAGCAATGCTGCAATAGAGAAAGTGATCCATTTCCCGAATAAAAAAAAAACACGCGCTCTCTCTCTTCTATTCTCCGCGTGCGAGGGACTGCACAAGACCTGACACCATGGCCAACCGCCAGCACGGTCTGTCGCGCACCTTGCCGAAGGATTTTACGTATCCTTCCGCCGGGGAACCCAGAACTCCAGAGCGCGCTTCAGTGCATCTAGATGCGCCGCCTCCACCGCCCCGGCATTCTGGCTCGCGCCTTCGCCCATCTCGCGTCCGGTCAGGAACCGACCTTTTTGCTCAAGTCCGCCGTGACTTCAGCATCTTTAACCCTGCCGCCCCGGATATGCCTCTACCTTCTATTGAATTCCCTCCCGCTCGTGATGCATCCGCAGTTCAATATGAGCCAGCGGCGTCCCCAACAAATGATCAATTTCTCGCACCACCTCGCCCTCGAGTGGCCCTCAAGACCCCGCCGGCTCAGATCCGCCCAGACCCTGTCGAAGTGGAGTCTGCTAGCTCTTGGTCCTCCTGGAATCCACGAGCCTTTGGAGAAGAGATCCAACGTCCCAGTTCGGCCTGTTCGAATGCGTCTGACTCTTCCGTTTCATCGATTGAAACATTTGGCTCACGGCAATCGGTTGGCGGAAGCTGCACGAGTACTGAAAGCGATTCCTATGATCCTTTCTTCCATATTGAACTTACTCCGAAACAGACCGCGGACACTTCACCGCTAACCGCAAACATCTCGAGCAAACAACGAAATACCACAAAAACAAAGGAACGGTGGACCTTGGATATGGATAACCATCTATGGAATACCTACCAGCTTTACATCCAAGACCCTACCATCACACCCTTCAAAATGACTCCCGGTAGTATTCCGCCTCTCGGCGTCACTCACAGGGTGTCGCGACAAGCAAAACGAACCTGGGAAAAGAAAGGAACCCGCCTTGATAAACAGTTCACCTCCGCTAGCGCTGCACCTCGGAGTGGTGACTCAACTCCAACTGGAAGGGAACATACGTCAAAGCCTTCGTGGCCCAAATCAGAAGCCTCAACTCGACGAAGGCTGAAGTTCCTGTGTAAGAGGAAGTTTTCCATCGCTCCTCACTACCAAAGGATGATGCAGTCTCGGAGCCCAACACCGTTCCTAGAC